ATGTGTAATATGAAGTCATATTAATGTGGAACAGGTTTTCCTTCATCTGGTCTTGGAGGCCCCCCGTCTGGACCGCTGCCAAACCCCCACCCTCCGCTGTTCCCACATGAGACCACCTTACAAACTGGAGGTTGTGGGGGGGTTGGAATGTATTTTGCCCTGTGTGATGTGATTGTTTGCAGAGAAATGGGTTGACCTTGCCCTCTAATGCCACACACACATGCACACACTCGCTCTGGCCGGGCTGGAGGTGTGTGAGACAGACCTGCTGAGTGCAGGAGGTCTGGGACCCCGTCACCACTTCCTCCACACAGAGAACAGAGGATCCAGTCAGCTGAAGCCAGGATGGGACAATAATGAGCCGTCCAGCCACCACCGCCACCTCATTTCAGGTATTATTGAAACCTTTGCCTCTCACTTTGTTTTTTTTCTTCTACATACACCAACAACTGTGGGATAAAATGAAGAGCTACAGTCCAAAAAGCAATACCCAGTTTAAGATTTGGATTAATTACTCAATATTTTTAAATAATTTTAAGATTTAAAGCACAAAAAATGGTTCTAAATATACTTAGGTAAACATTAATGAGCACTACCTGTGGTGTGTATAGCTTAATACAGGTTTCAAATAATAAATATTTCATTTAGGAAAAGATGATTTTCATATTATTTAAGAACTAGGACATGCAATCAAATATAAAATAATGAAACATTTAGATCAGCTTTCTGATATATAAGAAAATAATTTTTGTTTTCTGAAGAATTATTTAAATTTCAGTTAATGTTTTGTATGATTTATAAACACTAAGTTGGTTATTTAGTAAATTCCAGCTATTATATTTTAATGGTAACTTTTTAAAATATTGATTAGTTGCTTTTGTTATTGAGTAGAAGAGAATAGGATTCGAAAAATGTTATACTGTCTGATGATTTCGTGTTTTTTATTATAAATTGGCGTTTATAAACAACGAAAGAATCAAAATTCAACTGTGTGACTTAACGTCAATTAGTCGTATTATATGTATAATGGTGTTTTTCGATTGCGTAATTTTAACCTGTAACGGGGGAAGTTTTCTAGAACTTTTCGGAAAATGTTGTATTTGAAAACTGTAATTTTTTTTTTCCAAACACACAAAATAATTTCTGATTTTCAAAATAAAGTAACATACTCCAGCGACCCATCATACTCAGTTGTGCTCGAAGGCTCAATAAACAGCAGAGTGAGTAAATGACTTATTTTGACTAAAAAAGTCGTTTCTAGTTTTTGTTTCTTTATAATAATAATGAATTTTTACAAAGGAAAAATTAAGAGATTGTTTTTTATTTTACCTTTTTATGAAGAGTAGTAGTGTAACTATCCATGTCTGTGGGGAAGGATTAAAAATGTAGAGGTTAATAATTAATAAGAGTCAACATTTTAACATATTCGGAACTGTAACTGCAACTGCTGAGTGAGGAACAGTTCATTCAAAGCAATGTATGATAATTAAACCTGGACTCTTGTTGAAGCAGCTTTTTCGTGTTATTATTTTTTATTATTTGAATGCAAAATGGCCTTACTTCATTTCCAACAATATTCAGATCTGCATTTATTTATTTTATTTGACACGTCTGGGTTTTTAAAGGCGCTCAAGTTGACCTCCAACAAGTAAACAAAGAATGTGATAAACATAATTCAGAGTAATCTTTGTAAACCGACAGCAACACACTAACATGTACAATATTTACATGAGTAAAATAAGCTACTGTGTGTTATCTTAATTGACTTTTATGTTTACTAAAAAATATATATTGTTCTAAAAACTTACTCATAAAAAGTCGAATCAGCAAAGTCAGGATTTGTCGTTTGCTCCTTAAATTCCTCTGTATAGCCGACTTTACCATTATAAACGTTAAATCAGGAGAAGAACAGTAAATAATTGATTTTAAATCGTACTTGATAATATCATTTCCCAAGCGGAGTGTGAGACCTGTTTGGAGCGTAAACAGTGTGTGTCTGCGAGTGTGTGTTTTAATTGATAGGCTTATTGGTAGGGTATCAGAGCAGATCGGGAAACTTGATGGGTCTGCATTTACACACACACACACACGCACAACACACACGTTGCACACACACATACACACACAACCACACACACACACACACACACACACACACAGGACACAGATCCAGTCTCCCAGTGGCAGCGCGATCTCACTGCAGCACCCGCTTGTCGCGCTTTGCACGAGAGGCTTTGCACCGAGCTGAGAGGTCTATCACCGGGGAATTTCATATTTAAACACGGTAAGAGCTGCACGTATTGGTGCTTTTTTAAACAGAACATAGGCACGTGCAGGAGCGCAAAAAACGGGGCACTTTTTACGCACAAAAATGTCCTACAGGCTGCACTATTTTATTTCATTCTGATGCTGTATGACTATTTGTTTTCGTGTTTTTTATGTTCAAGGTTTTTATATATATTCAAATTTAGTATACCAATATCAGGCCACAGTATATTCTACTGCAGAAAGGTCCCTTGTGCCTGAATAGGCTGCATCTCGACACATACCGTTACAATGGAGGAATAGTCAACATCACAGACCTCTCGCGTAAATTAAATAAAAAATAACTAAGAAAATAGTTAATGGTGCGTAAATGTGCCCACAGACACTCCGAATGGGCAGGTTGTGTTCAGGATGAAGGAGGAAAACGCGAAGGCACGGTTGCAGAAATTGGTAGAGATGGTTAACGGAGGGATCCGGCATGTTGACCTCCCGATGACCCCTTCAACTTTAAACTCTGGATGCCTCCTATTATCAAGATACAGTAGGCTAATCCAGTCAAAGCGATGTGCGCCCGTGTCCACCCGCTGCTGCTGCTGCTACAGGCCTCCTGAGCCTGGATCCATAATCTGTGTGAAATAATATGGGTGTGCCCCTCATGTGAGATTAGGCCTGTGGTTTTTTTTTTTTTTTTATCATTTTAGGAAATGCACAAACAAAATCACATTTGGTTGTGTAGATGTGCAGTAACAGGTTATGTTTGTGTGTTTTATTCACCAATATAGGGCACTGACAGGAATCTATAGCCTGTTATTGATTTCTTTTTAGTACCCTGGGCCAACAGGTAAAATAAATCCTGCCATTCCTTAACAGGTATCTTCTTTTAAATTGTGGGATTGGAGATGAATTACCACAAAATGTGGGTAAAATAGATAATAAAATACCTCTTTCTCCTTTTCATTTCCATAATTTGACCTATAGTCTTCCTCTTCCTCTCACATCAAACGGTTTAATGAATGCATGAGTAAAGTATTCCCACTTTCTGTGACTTTAACAAACAATAACTTTCTTTGATCAATCAGGAGAGATTGATTGATTGATAATCTTTTTAGGGAGAACAAGAGCAAAAACAGTCATTTTGTGGTTTGTGTGATGTGAAATCAAAAGAGAAAGCTATAAAGGATCAGCTCTCTCTCTGACAAACAGACTCTGAGAATAAATAAAAATGCTTTTGAAAAATAAATCATCCTCGACTGAGTGCGCGTGCGTGTGCGTAGGTCTATGTTTGTGTGCGTATGTGTGTGTGTGCGTGTGTGTGTGTGTGTGTGTGTGTGATTGGCCAGTGACACAGCCGTGATTTGGCGTGCAGATACCGATGCGCCGTGCAGACCTATGGGAGCGCCGGAAAGGCAGAAGGGGGAGGGCAGAGAGTCTGAGGCGGACTCCATTTGTAATGAAGCATCTGATGAGGGGTTCAGATCAGGGCTGCCACTAAGTCAGTGAGGGCAATAAAGAGAGGGGCGATATAAACGAGGAGGAAATTACATCCACTTTGAACGGGATTCAACCTCCACAGCAGCCGGGGGTGGCGGGAGGCAGCGGAGCGGACCGAGCCGCGGGTTGCGCGCAGGGAGACGGACAGCGGAGCCAGAAACTAACCCGATGATATTTCAGAGCCGCACATGGAACATGGTGGATTTTTGAGAACCGACACCGCAACATCTGGACAGTTGGATTTAAAAAAAATAATAATAATTTAGTGGACATCAAGGCAGGCTATAATAGGCGAGCAGGCTGCAGAGCGCGCAGGAGCAGGATGAGCGTGTTTTCTGCAGGGAGAGCAGAGAAGTGCGTTTGAGGTAAAGGCCCTCAGGGAGACCATCCAAAATATATATACACTCACACACACTCACACACACGCACGCAGATGCCAGACACAGGCTGTGGTTTGCTTATTTGATGTCAGTGATATGCACTTTAAGAGCTGCTTCCATTTTTAAACAGCATGTAGGCTGTAGTTTAACACACAGTTCAGCTGTTGTAACACTGCAGGCTCCACGTATCTTCCTGCATTAAGGTCGAAACAGAAAAAGATGAATATGAATTATTATTATGACCACTGTGACTATAATACAGTCTGAAATCTGGATTGTTACCACATAAATAGGCATGATGATACGGATGTTAAAGTTCAAGTTCATGCACATTTAATTTCCTTTTTTAAAACTTATTTTAAATTCAACTTTTGTCAGTGCACAGAAATAAAACTAAATAATAATAAAACCTCCATTCTTGGTGCTGTGTGACATTATGACCCTACCTGTTAAATTGTACTATCTGGCTCTATTCATTACAGAATCTAATCTCCTTTTGTGGAAGTCTGTAATTAAGTTATTGGATCAGTTACAGTGCCAACATTAAGGGTCTCTGTGTGTATCCAAAGACAGTCCAACAGTTGGCGTTGCTTATTGTCCTGTAGGTCGCAGAAATATCATATTAAATATAATTCTTATCATAATTCTGACTAATACTGACATAAATTTGCCCAAAAAGACATGTTTCAGATTATATTCTTTGTCGTTCTTAACTGTAAGATGTTCAATACCAACCACTAACTCTATTAAACAGGAAACTATTTCTCATCAAATCTTTAACACGAGCAAAAGCGAGTGTTATGTGTGTATCAAATGCACATAATACATAATACTAACCTGTGTGTGTGTGTGTGTCAGTGGGACATGGCAAACGGAGGGGACCAGTTCGGCCTTGCAGAGCGTCCGGACTCGGACTGCATGGATTCCCCAAAAGAGACCAAACATGAGAATCACAACTACACCTTAAACTCACCAGCTTCCCCGCAGACCGCGTCCAGCCAGCAGGTACCGGCCTGTACAGCCGACCACAATGTAAATATTGATGATTAATTATTGATTATAACTCATAAATAGTTTATTTTATTTTTTGTATTTTTCGGCTCCAGAAATTAAATCACAAAAAATGATTGATGCAAAAATATTCACCTCACTGTTTAGTAAGTTATATCATAAACAACTTAATCATTAGTTCAGAGATGTAAATCACTATTCAGTTACTTAAATTTAAATTAAATTCTCACATAGCTAATGGAAGTGTGTTTCCTTTTGGGGGCCTGTGTCCTGCTTTAATGTGACTTCCTCTGCAGTTGTAGTGAGCACTGTTTATATTTTGCTGCAGGGGATGGAGGGAATCAAAGTTTTCCTTCATGACAGGGAACTTTGGACGAAGTTTGATGAAGTGGGAACTGAAATGATCATCACCAAGGCTGGAAGGTATGAGGCAGAAATCCCTGTCTGTTGACTAGAGATGTTTTTAACTTTGGGTAATTTTAATTTGTCTGATTTGATGCTAAAACGCTGCAGTGAATGGATGAGATAGATGACCCAACAATGCTGCATTTTATTATATAATTTCAGGTGTTTTATCATTTAAATCTGACTTAGAAAGAGGGAATATTGATATTTTTCTGGCCGTCTTCCCTTGTAGGAGGATGTTCCCGAGCTACAAGGTGAAGGTCACAGGACTCAACCCAAAAACCAAGTACATCCTCCTGATGGACATCGTCCCCGGGGATGACCATCGCTACAAATTCGCAGATAACAAATGGTTCGTACATCCCAACATCTGTACACAAACTTAGATTAATCCACAAATCTTCAGAGTGGTGTTGGCTATTAGAGCCCTGCGGGTCAGCCTAGTGTTTATTAATGATAGTAAACTTTTAAACATCATGCGTTTTACGGAATGGACGTACACACCCACTAAAACTAGTCAAAATAAATAAATAAAATAAGCCTGTTTTTTTCCCACATTTACGCACAGTATGTCCATTCCTACTTTCTTAATATTTGCGCCAACGTGAATTTTACATTATAAATATCTGTAAAATAAAAATCTCTTGGTAAGCCGTCTCGCTGTGGGGGTTTTACCCTGCTCTCCACCCTCGCTTCTGCACCGTGCAAAGGTCCTTCCTGCAGTCTGGGATGGCCTAGTTCCCCGTGTTTACCCCCGTGCATGCCCGCCGGTTAAATCGGAAGGGTTCACCGGGCGGACAGACGGCACGGACCGGGATTAAAATCTCTCCGATTCAATTGTGCTGCGGGGAAAATTCAGACTCTCCAGTGAGATCCATCAATGCTCTGCCTCTTCAAAAGCATCAGACACTGGGTAGTTATCACGTAACGGGCCGGAAACGGGAGTCTGGATGAACTGTGACACAAAGTCTCAGCTCGGAGCTAATGGAGGCGCTCCGTGTTTACAGAGATAAGTCGGTGGTAGCCTGGAGGCTTTTATAAAGGAGGAAGTTTGGTGATTGATCCCCTCTACTGCAAAATATATACAGGCAATAATATTTTTTAATATTCTCTTTTTTTAATTATTTTTTTTTGTTCATTTTTGACAGGTCATGTTATTTGACCTTTAGGCGTTACAGACTCAAAGCATTTTCTTTGTCCTGATGAAGGCCTGAATTTTAAATGAATTTTCTTCAACAGTTATAAACTAGTATGATCCCCTGACTGAAGAGCACCAGATGGACTTCCTTTGTTTCTTTTTTTTTACACCGAAGCAGCACTGCATTGTTTACAGCCTCAAAACTGCTTTTAAAACACAATAACAATATTTCTTCAGGACCTTTATTGTTCGTTCAGAGCTGGAGACGTCTTTGGTTATTTAGTTTTTCGTATTACAGTCCGAACTAGTTATTTCTGGTCTTAATTAGTTAGTTAGTGACCTGTAAAACGTCAGTCATAGAGACGGAGAGAAACTGGCCTCTGCGCGTTGAACAGGATGATTAAAAATGAATGCGCTGAACGAAACCCACTCAAACAGGTTGTCCTCTCTGTGTCTGCTGCTAGAAGGCGAGAAGACAGTCCAAGTGGTTAAACTTGCATCTTTCTTGGACGTCTGAGGTCCTTGTGGTTGTTGTTTTGTGGCGATTGGAGCTGTTTTTTCAGCAGTTAGATTAACGGCCTCAGACTTCTCGCTCGGCGCTTCACAACAACAACACCTCTCCAGCAGGAAATAACATTTTCGGGGGACACCGAGTTCATTTGCGTCGACCAAAGCCAAGGTCCAGATGTGGGTATCTGTAAAAACTTCATCAAAACAAGGTGCATTTTGTGTTTGTCTAATTAAAGCAGCAGACAGGCCTTCTGCAGCCGGCGGCAGTGCAGGCCGCCTGCGCCACGGGGCGCCGGGCTGAGCGGTGCACGGCTGGTCAGACAAACCACTGTGACCCACTGAGTGTCAAAGTCTGACGGATTTCTGATCTGCTGCATTTTCTCGGCCTGTATAGGTCGATAACAGGAAAGGCAGAGCCGGCGATGCCCGGGAGGCTGTATGTTCACCCGGACTCTCCCGCCACCGGGGCGCACTGGAGCCGCCAGCTCGTCTCTTTCCAGAAGCTCAAACTCACCAACAACCACCTGGACCCCTTTGGACATGTGAGTCTGTCTTCTTCATAGTGTTTTGCTAATGTGGTGCATTTCTGTTTCTGCACACAACAAGAAAAAATTTCAAGATTTAAAAAAAAAAAGGTGGCCCTTTAATCTTTCAGCTATAACAAAAAAAGGACACAAATCAAACATTCCCAACTGGAAATGGTCTATTGGCCCATCAAAGAGCCATAATATGCATTTTAGATCATTAACCCCGAATGATGTTTTTAATTTAAGAAGAAATATTACATAAACTTACACTCACAGGTCCAGAGGTAGGCAGTCTCAGCTGGCAGCACACACAGCTCATTCTGCTGAATATAACTCAGCAGACTTCACAACACAGCACAAATCAGGCTCGACAGCAGAGACTCATCCCCACCGAGCTTTCTTTCACCCCCACAGTAACACACACACACACTGTATTAAACTACAGGCACAGTGGAAGCAGGTGAGCAGCAACAAACAGAAAACATCATCTTTTCAACTTTGTTAAATTATACGTAATGATTTCAGTGACTCTAAAGTCCATTAGCTAATACACATGTCACCGGCGGACATGTCACTGCGATTAAACTGAGCCCCCCTGGATAAACAAACGTGCTCGCGCCCGTGAGCGCGCGTATACACACAGGGCCGTGATCCAATTAAAAACCACTTGTGGAGCAGCCGGTGTCATGGGAAATAGTTCAGATTGTGCGCTGAATGCGTAAAGTTGTTATAGTTTTACATTACTGGTGTCTCCAAACAATGTTACAGACTTAACATAAATAAAACACCAAGAGCAAAAACCTTCACATCGAAAATATTAAGTAACAATAAGTTCAGTTCACTCAAGTTAATTATATTCTTGACTAAGCAGCTTTTACTATTAATTTTAAATGATAATGCCTTTTGTAATCCTTACTTGTACTGTGAATTAAAAAAAAAAAAACCTAGTAAAAAGTATTAACCAGTCATGTTTCTGTAACTTACAATTAACCCTAACCACTAAGCCATCACTTAGTAAAAGCTGCTTAATCAAGAATGTTTTGAACTTACAAAATTGAGTTAGTTAAATTTTTATGTAGTTGGTTTCAACAAGTTTTTGGAGTTAAAAAAAACTTGTGTTACAACTTTTAATAAGTCAAATACATTTTCCCCAAAAAAATTCAGCTGAAATAGTCGACCGGGTTAATGATCAGTGATTACATGGAATTATATTTTAGAATTTAGGCTTTATTTACAACATATCAGATCCTGTGGAGTCTATGTGGTTGAGAGAAAACACCAAACAAATTGCAGCTTTGATTTAAAATGTTTCAAGATGTTTTTTTGGGGGAATATTGGCATGAAAATAATACATTTAGAGTAAAACAAATAACATACACATACCAAGTTATTTACCTGTCTGCTACATAACTGAATCAGGCAAAAATATTTTTTACATTCATCATGCAGGACATTTGACATAGGTATTTTTTAAATCCTGGCTACGGCCTTAACACAACTTGATTTATTTTTCCTCTTGGCTTATATCAGCTAATACGTAAACTGTGAATCTCTGTCTTAAAGTTCATGTCATGCAAGAAATCCGGCTACCTTGACATAAATTGGGTTTACCCTCCACCTGGCCTCTTGTCCAGTTCCTAATGTCTGCCAGTGGTTTTCTGGAAGCCATTCAAGTCTGTCAACCTCACCTTCTCAATCTCTCCCGTTCAGATAATACTCAACTCCATGCACAAGTACCAGCCTCGTCTCCACATTGTCAAGGCGGATGAGAATAATGGTTTCGGCTCAAAAAACACAGCTTTCTGCACCCACGTCTTCTCTGAGACTGCCTTCATCGCTGTGACGTCCTACCAGAACCACAAGGTGCGCTTTATACAGGTCACAGTGCACAAAAACACTGCGAGAATGTAACAACTAGAACCCCACTTTATGTGTTTTAGAGAGTTCCCACCTGAATGTCTTTTATGTATGAAACTAATAGAATTATTGGGGGTTTTAAAAAACACAAAAATGATTACTGTACTGCTTTCTGACAGGCTGGAGCTACAGGCCGCCTCGTTATTATTCTAACAATTATAGAGATGGATCTCAAAGTCTTATGTGTTTGAATCAGAACTGTTCTACTGTCAAATTTGTGAGCATTTAGTTAAGCGTGTGAAGATCTGTCTTTGGTCACTGGCCACATTCAAACTCCAACTTTTGTCACATACTCACATGCACACGAACGGACAGTTTTGCCTTTGTTTGTATTACTGTCCGTATTTTGTATCCAAAAAGTCAATTTGCATCTTCTTTGTTTATGTGTCCTTACTCAGTATTTGTAAACACGTCCAAAAATGAATTACCCATGCGCGTGTGTGTGAGCACATGTGAGAGAGTGTGTGAGTGTTGGTCTGTAATGAGCTGTTTCTTTCCCTTGATCTTGGTTGATCCGGTTTCCTCGGCATCTATTAGAAAGACAGATTGCTGAAGGTTTAAGCCGCTATGCTGGTTAAGATTTCACAAGATATCTAACACAAATAACATAATTAAATTTCAACTATAATTTTACAATTTATTGTTGTTAATTGTTATTTTCCTTCATTTTTTAGATAGTATATCTATACAATTGCTCACTTGACAAAATAGTTGCCTAAATTCTGCACACTTTTATGCACAGCTTCAATTTGGTAGTCTTTTATTTATTGTATAAGAAACTGTAAAAATACCAAACTCACACACATATAAAAGGCTCTAAAAATATGTCTACAACAAGTATTTAATCTATCAAGGTGCATTTATTTATTTACAATAGTAGATACAGCATTAAGTTTAGAAGCCAAAGTTGATACTGTATGGTTTTATTTTTACTGTATTGTAGTTTTTTTGTATAAACTTAATAATAATAATTGTTAATAGTAGTTATATGTATGTATGTAAAAAGTGTATTGTAATAAATACACATTTTGTATTTTAAACTTTACTACTAATTTATATTATTATTATTATTATTAGTGGTAGTAATAAAAGTAACAGTAGCAGTAGACAAAGTGACCATTGAATTAGTTTTGAGAATTAGAATTTGTACTTTTCTACACTATTACGTTTGTTTAAAAGAAATTGGTTAGTGTGTGAAAAAAATCTTAACATTCTATCATATGCAGTAACAAATACTACTGGTATCACACTTCTATGTTAGTTCCAACATGATAAAGTATAAAAATGAGAACTTTTGAGCCAGTAGTTTGATGGATGCTGTCAGTGTTATCAGCTCTTCAAAGTTTGTTTGGACCTGAGCTCGTGTCGGAGCTCCAGTCCGCTCGCCTGCTGCGTGATGGACACACAGCACCGAGGTTTCCCTCCATGACATCACCGAGAAAAGTTTGAAGACTTAACATCAAAGCTCCGAGCTCTGGACCTCTAAAAGCTTTGGCCTGAAATCCTTAAACCTGGCGACTGTTTGGGTAAACAGTTTATTCTGTGTCAGCTGGCGAGGACACTGTCCGTTAGAAACGTCAGCAGCTGAGGAATGTTGGCCGTGCAGAGCTTCAGCGGGCTGCTTTTAACATCTGCAGGCCCTCTGACGAATAGTAAACTATTGACTTTCACTCAATGAAAAGAATGGATAAAAAAACAAATGTGCCTGTGTGTGTCTGGACTTGCATGAAACCGTGTGTTTCTTTGGGCCTGTGCGTGCTGTGGTGTAACGCTCTCTCTGTCTTGTGCTCAGATTACACAGCTGAAGATAGAGAACAATCCTTTTGCAAAGGGCTTCAGAGGCAGCGACGACAATGAGTTGCATCGCATGGCCAAGCTACAAGGGTGAGTACAGCTTTCAGTGTCTGCGTGCGTGTTTCGCCTTCATAAGAAGCAACATGAGGGTTGTTATGATGGGGTGCATATGGTCAAAGACGTGTGTGTGCATGAGTGGAGCCAAGCAGTATAAAGAGATGTGAGCCATTGTCACCTGAAGGTTGATCTTAGCCTGAAACCTCGTCCAGACTGTGCAGCACAAACACGTCACGCCGAGCATCGATAGATAGATGATATCACATTGCTGCTGGTCTGTTAGACTGTCACTGCTGATCAGCTGATGGCCCTACATGGTGCTGGACTAATCTCAATTCAAGCGCTGTTGTGGCAGGCAGTTTAGAGATTTTAATACGCCAATGGGAGAGGCTGTTACTGAGGGGAGGGAGAGGAGAGAGGGGTTGTATTAAATGCAGCACCCCTGTGTTACTGTGGTTGGTGGAGAGGAGAGAAGAGTCTATCTGAAGTGACACACGGATGGATGTTTATTTTTAGAGCGGCGAATTATCTCACAACAGCACCAACTGTGTGTGTGCGTGCATCAGTGTGCGTGAGTGTGTGTCACTATCTCAGCAAGAGTCAGGGAGATGTGGCCCGCTGTCCCCTACATACCACAGAGTTCACCAAGAGGGCAGTGTGTACAGGGCTGAAAGGATTGAGAACAGCTAAGTAGACTTGAAAGAAAAAGGGGAAAAAAATAACAAGAACACAAACACAACCAGGCAGAATTTAATCTAACAGAAATACCTGTACAGAATCAGGAGAGGCAGATTTGCGCAGAATACCTGAAGCCATAAATGCAAATGGTTGCTTCTGCTGTAATTCTCAGCTCACATCTCTTTCTGTTTCAGTAAGGACTTCCCTGTGGTCCCTCGCAGTACTGTCCGTCAGAGAACCTGCTCCACTGGTAGTCCGTTCAGTGGGGAGGGTCGGGGTCTGCGGGGCTCCCCTGAAGCCGTCGGGTCCCCCTACAGCTGTGAGAATGGCTTGAACAGCAGCAGTCCCCAGGAGCTACTGAGCTCCCCCCCCCCACACTACATCCTGCCTCATCCTCACCTGCAGCATGGCCAGCAGCAGCAGGTGTACCACTGCACCAAGAGGAAAGGTAGGAGGAAGCTGTGTGTCTCTGCCTTCAGTGCACTGTGGGAATGAACCTGAGCTAAGATATAAAAAGGAATTCCATTAGTTCGTTTCCTGACACAGGAGTCTATCTTTATGTATTCCACGTATTGGGATCCTTTTTGTAATAGTGGAAATAATTGTGTATTTTTCTCACCTGAAAATTAATTATTAAAGTCACAATTGTGACTATTATTACTTCGCCTAATGTTTCCTTATTCAAGTGAGAAAATATCACTTAAAACACAAACTGGTCATTATTGACTTCTCCAATTTGTGCAAAATAAGTGTCTGTTTGCAGGTTATTTGCAATATGTGAAGGTTAAAGGACCGTTCCAGTGGTTTTACATGTTATTGATTACAAATATCCATACTCACTGTTACCGCTAACTATTGTCGAAACATTTAAGTTTTAAGATGATTTCCTAACTTTTAGGCAGCGAGTATGAAAAGCAAGAATAATCACTGTGAAAAGTCTGTTAAATTTTTTTCATCCGCTTGACAATGCCGTTGCTGCAGGGACAATTTTGAAAACTCGTCCTCTTGGTGGTCCCAGATTTCAGAGATGGTGGCCAGATAGCTTTGCATCCATGAGATAAGTTTTGAAATGTTGATGCTGAAGGGTAATGGTGATGACTACTGTATGTAACATGTAACCAACAAAAAAAGAAAACCCTTTTAGTGGCTGCTTGGGAAATAAACCTGAGAAGATTTACACTAATTTGTGCTGTGACTGGCATTCAGTTTGTGTTTGCAAACTGTGTAATTTGCATCGGATTTACTAAGGCAACAGCTGTATGAACATTTGAATGTCTGGTCATTTACACATGCGTGCATGGATTTATTCACACATATTAATCAACAGCTAAAAGAAAATAAGTAAATAATGACCAATGACTCTGCAACAGCTTCTGCAGTGTAAGTGTAATGAGGTTGAAAATACAAAATAATTATATTCCAAACATTTGGCCGGAAACTCAAACTGAGAAACTTTATTTGGGTGACACTTGACTGATCACTTAACTAATCAGTTGTTCAATCGAAAAAACAAGACCCTACATGCAGAATTAGTCTGAAGCAATGCTGGACTTTGCTACTTTGCAGAATGGTCTACACTGATGATGAGTATAAACACTTTGTAGTTAATTGGGCTTGGTATTGTTTAAATGTATGAATGCAATACTGTTATAATTGCAGATAACTATGTTTTAGTATCAAGACCAAATACCTTTCTTTGAGGAATATAAACTTTATTTTTCTATCTAACCTTTTTATTTATTTAATAGAAAGTAAATGTTGTACAAACACAAGGCGGCATACAAGTTTCACCAAATAAAATTTAATCTAAAATCTAAATCATAGTAGAATAAGTGAGCTTTAAGGTGTTTGATACACTGTGATTTAGTCCACTCTGCAACTTATACAAGTGTGATGTAGAAACTTGAAGCTGCCACATACACTAAGAGAACGATTTTAATGTTGAAATCCTACTTTTTTTTAGTATAAAACCACATCAGATACACATTCTTGCTCCAAGCACTATTTGTATATCTGTCTGAATAAATGTCTGGAGGGGATCTCTAAGTCAATGTAAAATGTGCTCTAAAAGCAGTCAAACTAATGCAACTTTTCCTCATGTGTACATTTTGTTCTCATCTCAGCTTCTTCAACTGTATAATGCGGGAAGTCGGAAATTTTGAGCTGGAACTTTCCCAGTTCTCAAATGTCATTATTGTCAAATGGAAAATCAACACAATATCTTCTCTCTGTCCCGTTTCTCTTGTAGTGGAGGAGAACTGCTCTTCAGGAACCCGCCAGCATCCGTACAAGAAACCTTTCACTGGTAGCTCACCAAGTGAGGGCGAGTCTTACTATCACCCCTCCTCCTACCCTCCTCCTCCACCCGGTCTCTCCAACAACCCTGCCCTGGGTCTCACTGACTCCCCCTACAGCTCAGACATGGGACAGCGTCAGGCGTGCATGTTTGCCGGCTCAGAGCCCAGACTGGATGAACTCAACTGTGCATCCTGGTCATACACCTGCCCGCTCCCTTCTGCCATGACCCCCATGGAACCCTACCCGCCTTACACCCCTCATCCTCCCTACAGCTCCAGCCCTCAGGGCTCTCGACTCAGTGCTATAGCCCACCAGAGCTCTCCGCCGCTGGGAGAACACATCACCCACGACCCCTACCAGAGCCAGAGCTCTGGACCTCCATCTCAGAGCTCCCAAAACATTCACAGCAGGCAGCTCAGCCCTCCTCTCAGAGAGTATCATCGCTACACGCCCAACCTGTCTCCTCCTCTCTACCACACACTAGAGACACACACACACATCAGGTGTGGAGTCCCAGAATGGAGTGCAGCCTCTTAACTGAACCAGAGTGGACAGAGATTCCTCGTCTCAAATTCAATGACCCTTCTTTCTGCTCTTCTGAAAGATGCTGCACCGAATACGGACTAAATGTGATATTACCTTTGTAAAATACTTGTGAAAAGTGTGATTTTGTGCTGTGTGAAGAGGTGTCATTGGTTAGTTATGTTTCTCCCTCGTGCTGGATGGAGCAGTGGATCGTTAAAGACTTGGACATCCACGACTCGTCAGATGTTAAAAGAAAAAAAAAAAAAGAGCAGCACAATCAAAGTTGTACTTTATTGTCTTTACATAACCCAAAGACTGGTGTCACCCAAATGTTTGCACTGTGAGCCCTGTTAAGGCCAGACCGTTAGCAGCACTAGGCTGTTTTCCTCTCAATGACTCCCACTCTCTCCATTGTGAAGGATGTAAATTGTGACCCACTGTCAGACAGGCAGTAACATTTACTGACCAAAATAATCTCAGCGGAGCCTGAGGGAGACATTTTTTATCTTTAGTGGAGCAAAGCACAGCTCCGTGCTCAGTCTCAGTGAAGGAGAAAAGGCATGAGTTGTCTGTGTGTGCGTGTTTGTATGTAAAGCCTATGTCAGCTCAGCTCAAGGATGCTATGAGTTAATTTCCAATGAGACAGGCAGTAGTAGCTCCAGGCGCTGCACCATAGAGATAAACAGTTTGTTTAGACCACGCTACAGGCTGGAGGACCTGTAAACACTGTTTCCACTGCATTCTGGGTAAATGCACTACTCACCGTCATGCAGCTGTCACCGCTGTCCTCTTAGTCACCCCCAGCTGACCAATCAGTGTTCCCCGTTCACAGAGAGCCAGCCAATGAGGGCACCCCTCTCTTTTATCCCCAGCTGACCAATCAGCGCTGGAGTGCCGCATGTTTTATGTGTGCGTGTGTTGTCCCATTTTTGTTTCTGAATTATTCATGAGTCCAGTGTTGATCCTTGACATGCGAGGATTGCTCAGCAAACACAAAGAATCACAGTGCTGTAAATGTGACAATGTTGACGCACCAATTTGTTCAAATATTCTTTTTTAGTCTCTCTGTTTTGAATCTAAATGCTCCCTGTCACCTCCATACAGTATTTCTCCATTGCTTTGAGAAGATTGTGTTAAAACCATTTCCCTACAGATTTGGATAGCATTACTTTCTTCCTTTAAGCTAACTGTAAAGAAACATTTGTGGCACCCACTGTGCAAAATAGACGCAAGCTGAGATTTTTGGTTTATTTTTGTGTAATGAAGCAGTTTTTATATCTTTGCCCAGGTGTTTTACATGCAGTAACATGTGAGAAGGTGCTCTAACTTTACAAACCATCAGTATGCAGAGAGCAGATCCTCATCATTCCTTGATATGTATTTGATTTGTGTGTGAGTGAGTGTATGTGTGTGTTAAAATGAGATTTTTTTATAGCCTTGTTCCTGCTAATAATATTTATTACTCTAGATTTGTAAAGATTAGTTTGTTGTTAACTTGTGCAACAAGACGCTATTGTTTGGAGATATTTGTTTCTCTTTGAAGGTTTGTTTCTGGTTTCACCCTCCATCTCCAAGTGGTGATAAATAGTTGTGATAAACAAACACAATTTTCTGTTCTATGGAAATAAAGACAGATTTATATACAGAAATGGAATAAATTTTAGAGATTTTTTGCGTAAGTCAAGTGGTTGTAGTGTTCTTCTTTGTGAGTAGACAACAGACACAGCAGAGACAATCTATTAACATTCCCAGCGGGTTATTTAAAGTACGTTCAGCACCTCGTGAGTGGAAACTCTTTTAAGTGCAGTGCAGTTTATCAGTTCCAATGCATGTATCAATATGAAGGACCTGATAGCAACAGTAGCCTGCCGCGTTTCCCAAATGCATGTTCCAAAAGTGTCCAACGGTCTCATTCAACAATGTAGAGAGTATGGTTTAAAAAGTAACAGTGTGTACTCTGCTGTCTTATCAAGTGGAAGGGACCCCAGTGCCTCTAAGTCTTACACTCAGAGTGGTGTGGGTGCTGGGGTGCTGTGCATTACTTGTCCGCCTCCTCTTATCTCTGACAGGTTGTTTGGCATCTCCAGTCTCCACCAGCTGGACCCCTTCACTGACAACCTGCTGCCCAGGGAGGGGTGGGGTCTGCCGGGATGCAGGACAAAGAAAGGTGGGGGTGTGTTGGTGGTCCCCCCTTTTCTAAGACTCCCCTCCAAACCGCCATTCGCTCTCCTTCCTCTCTCCTGACATCTCATGTTTCTGTGTCTCTCACAGCAAAGTTAACCTCTTACACCTTACACCTGCTCAGAGTTTACAACACGCTTATTTTCAACTAACAAATGGATGTAGCATGCAGAGATTTATTTCAAAAGGTTGTTAAATCATTAAACTTCTAACCCAGTGTATTTACATTTAATTGCATAGTTATATGTCAGTTGTCAGACCTCCCTCTCTCTCCATCTCTTTTTCTCTTTCTTCCTTTCTCTCTCTTTCATACACCATAAGGTCAGAGGTTAAGCAGGCAGCTCTTCAGAGGGTCTGTTCCTCCTTAACCCCTCGTCTCCAGACAAACTCAGGCCAGGATGAGGAGAGGGGGAGAGGAGGGGGAAAAAGAGTGAGGTCCCATGCGGGGGCCTCTGAATCTGAAGATGGATTGCATGCCTGCTTGTACAGTAACAGAGCTCTGTGATGACCTCTGTATGGCTGGAAGTTAGCTGGGAGAATAAAGCTTTTGGCTAAAGTGGTAAAATAATATTAAACACAGAGTGTTTGTATGTGTGTGTGTGTGTGTGTGTTTGTGTGTGTGTGTGTGTGTGTGTGTGTGTGTGTGTAAAGGACTTTAATCCATCTGTGGAG